GGATAGTGCATTGATAGATTTAAACAGATATATAGTCGTAGGATAGATGTAAACAGATATGCAGTAGTAGGATAGTGCACAGATAGATTTAAACAGATATGTAGTAGTAGGATAGTGCACAGATAGATTTAAAGAGATATATAGTAGGATTGTAAACAGATAGATTTAAACAGATATGTAGTAGTAGGATAGTGAACAGACAGATTTAAACAGATATATAGTAGTAGGATAGTGCACAGACAGATTTAAACAGATAGGTAGTAGTAGGATAGCGCACAGATAGATTTAAACAGATATGTAGTAGTAGGATAGTGTACAGCCAGATTTAAACAGATATGTAGTAGTAGGATAGTGCACAAATAGATTTAAACAGATATGTAGTCGTAGGATAGATGTAAACAGATATGCAGTAGTAGGATAGTGCACAGATAGATTTAAATAGATATGTAGTAGAAGGAAAGTGAACGGATAGAATTAAACAGACATGTAGTAGTAGGATAGTATACAGACAGATTTAAACAGATATGTAGTAGTAGGATAGTACACAGATAGATTTAAACAGATATGTAGTAGTAGGATAGTGAACAGACAGATTTAAACAGATATATAGTGGTAGGATAGTGCACAGATAGATTTAAACAGATATGTAGTAGAAGGATAGTGAACAGATAGATTTAAACAGATATGTAGTCGTAGGACAGATGTAAACAGATATGCAGTAGTAGGATAGTACACAGATAGATTTAAACAGATAGATAGTAGTAGGATAGAGAACAGATAGATTTAAACAGATATGCAGTTGTAGGATAGTGAACAGATAGATTTAAACAGATATATAGTAGTAGGATAGTACACAGATAGGTTTAAATATATATGTAGTAGTAGGATAGTACACAGATAGATTTAAACAGATATGTAGTAGTAGGATAGTACACAGATAGATTTAAACAGATATGTAGTAGTAGGATAGTGTACAGACAGATTTAAACAGATATATAGTAGTAGGATAGTACACAGATAGGTTTAAATATATATGTAGTAGTAGGATAGTGTACAGATAGGTTTAAACAGATATGTAGTACTAGGATATTACACAGATAGGTTTAAACAGATATGTAGTAGTAGGATAGTACACAGATAGGTTTAAGTATATATGTAGTAGTAGGATGGTGTACAGATAGATGTAAACTGATATGTAGTAGTAGGATAGTGCACAGATAAATTTATACAGATAGGTAGTAGGATAGTACACAGATATATTTAAACAGATGTGTAGTACCATGATATATCTTAGAGTTCATGATTTACAAATATTTGGTAAAATTAGAAAAACAATTTGTTAAAGCCAAGTTAATCTCTTTTAATCTCTAGTTATAAGATAAATATAAGACTGGGAAAGTTTTATGTAAATATCTGCATCTTGTTTTCTTGTGTATGTATGCGTATGTATTTACATCTTGTTACCATGCATGCATACGTATTTACATCTTGTTACCATGCATGCATACGTATTTATATCTTGTTACCATGCATGCATACGTATTTACATCTTGTTACCATGCATGCATACGTATTTACATCTTGTTACCATGCATGCATACGTATTTACATCTTGTTACCATGCATACATACGTATTTACATCTTGTTACCATGCATACATACGTATTTACATCTTGTTACCATGCATACATACGTATTTACATCTTGTTTACATGCATGCATAGGTATTTACATCTTGCTTACATGCATGCATACGTATTTACATCTTGTTTACATGCATGCATACGTATTTACATCTTGTTTTCTTGTGTATGTATTTACATCTTGTTTACATACACACACATGTAAACAATATGAATACACTTTCACATACATTTAAACAAGATATATATACGTTCACATACATTTAAACAAGATACATATACGTTCACATACAAGTAAACAAGATACATATACGTTCACATACATGTAAACAATATGTATATACGTTTTCATACGTGTAAACAATATGTATTTACGTTTACATATATGAAATGTAAACAAGATGTGTATATCCGTTTTCGTACATGTAATATTTGATGTTTATATTTGTTCACATAAATGTAATGTTAACAATATGTATGGTGAAGGCATATACATATTGTTTACATGTATGGTGAATGTATATACATATTGTTTACATGTATGTGAACGTATATACATATTGTTTACATGTATGTGAACGTATTTCCATATTGTTTACATATATGTATGGTGAATGAATATACATATTTTTACATGTATGTGAACGTATACATATTATTTACATGTATGTGAACGTATATATATCTTGTTTAAATGTATGTGAACGTTTATACATATTGTTTAAATGTATGTGAACTTATATACATATTAATTACATGTATGTGAACATATATACATATTGTTTACATGTATGTGAACATATATACATATTGTTTACATGTATATTAACGTATATACATATTGTTTACATGTATGTGAACATATATACATATTGTTTACATGTATGTGAACACATGTACATATTGTTTACATGTATAGCACTATTCCTTTTTCCTAGACGATTGTTTTTTGTTAGCTTTCTTGCGAGTATTCATACTTATGTAATTTGTGAAAAGCTTGTTTGCGTAAGCATGTAGTGTATGTTAGTGAGTGTTTAAGATATTCATTTCATGTTTACTTCATGTTTGTTCCTATTTGTTTACATTAAGGCATGTATAGGCTGTCAGGTGTATATAGAGTAGTGTATACAGAATATATACATATCATGCATAAAGGCCTTCAAAATCAACTTCAAAACTTTAAAGTTTGAAAAATATTTCAATTTTGGGGGATTCACAGGGAAAGAATAAATATACGGGGGGGGGGGATATGCCCTGAGAATAGAATTAAGGGATAGAGAGTCTAGGATAGAGAATCTAAATTCCTGTTTACATGTAGTAAATGCCGTACTCTTAAAATTGCGTCCCAAAACTGTATCAGTCCAGGTACAACCCGTCCACTATCAAACAGGATACAATCCACTAGACTACAATCTTGTGAACTATCAACGCCACTATCACTGGGCGCGATCTCAGTAGCTATCAAACAAGCTATTACTCAGGCTCTAAACGCCACACATGGACACAAGGGTAGCTATCCAACAAGCTATAACTCAGGCTCTAAACGCCACACATGGACACAAGGGTAGCTATCCAACAAGCTATAACTCAGGCTCTAAATCCACACAGGGACACCAGGGTAGCTATCCAACAAGCCATTACTCAGGCTCTAAATGCCACACAGGGACACAAGGGTAGCTATCCAACAAGCCATTACTCAGGCTCTAAATGCCACACAGGGACACAAGGGTAGCTATCCAACAAGCCATTACTCAGGCTCTAAATGCCACACAGGGACACAAGGGTAGCTATCCAACAAGCCATTACTCAGGCTCTAAATGCCACACAGGGACACAAGGGTAGCTATCCAACAAGCCATTACTCAGGCTCTAAATGCCACACAGGGACACAAGGGTAGCTATCCAACAAGCCATTACTCAGGCTCTAAATGCCACACAGGGACACAAGGGTAGCTATCCAACAAGCTATTACTCAGGCTCTAAATGCCACACAGGGACACAAGGGTAGCTATCCAACAAGCTATTACTCAGGCTCTAAATGCCACACAGGGACACAAGGGTAGCTATCCAACAAGCTATTACTCAGGCTCTAAATGCCACACAGGGACACAAGGGTAGCTATCCAACAAGCTATTACTCAGGCTCTAAATGCCACACAGGGACACAAGGGTAGCAATCCAACAAGCCATTACTCAGGCTCTAAATGCCACACAGGGACACAAGGGTAGCTATCCAACAAGCCATTACTCAGGCTCTAAATGCCACACAGGGACACAAGGGTAGCTATCCAACAAGCTATTACTCAGGCTCTAAATGCCACACAGGGACACAAGGGTAGCTATACAACAAGCTATAACTCAGGCTCTAAATCCACACAGGGACACAAGGGTAGCTATCCAACAAGCTATTACTCAGGCTCTAAACGCCACACAGGGACACAAGGGTAGCTATCCAACAAGCTATAACTCAGGCTCTAAATCCACACAGGGACACAAGGGTAGCTATCCAACAAGCTATAACTCAGGCTCTAAATCCGCACAGGGACACAAGCGTAGCTATCCAACAAGCTATTACTCAGGCTCTAAATGCCACACAGGGACACAAGGGTAGCTATCAAACAAGCTAATACTCAGGCTCTAAATGCCACAAAAACATTGGCTATCTGGCAAGCCCTGGATCGATCCCTACCCTATACTGAGGTAGGGTATTAACCCGAATATTTCAAAGGGGGTGCAATTACTCTGCACTGTAGTCAAAGCGGAGTTCTAATTTGTATTTAAGGTTTATAGGTTACAAGTTAAATTAATAGACGTGATTACAATTCCTCCGTCATTATCTTTATCACATGATTAAGGCAAATCAGGTTACGTATTAAAGCACAGTAAGAAATAGTCGCAATTTGATATATATGTCATATATGTCACATGATTAAGCTAACCATGTAAGATAAGGGTAAACTTCGGGAAAAGTAATATTGGGGAATTGATACAAATTTAAATCCCCCATACAATTTTTGAGGTCTGACAAAATGTTAGCCTTAATTTCTTGTCACATACAAGTTACCAATTCTTTCTATCTACATTTATAAACACAGATTAATTTTTAAAAAAGTTTCAACTGAAAGTGGAAAAAAGAAATACCATTTGCAAAAACAGGCAAAGTAAACATTCCCTAAATTGACCGCGATAATTTTGCAAAATGTTGAAAAAGATTATCTTTAATATGCGCTTTTTCTGTTCAATGTTAAAACTTTTCAGGGGTGTATGTAATAAATATTGTGTAATCTGATATTCTGTGAAATTGCAGTACGTTATTCATTATTAATGATTGATGTTTGTACGGATAGTCCTTTCAAACATTTAGATTCAATGCAGTCATTAAAATTTCCTCTTTTCAAGAACTTGTTATTAGATTTTGTTTTTGAGTTTGAAATGTGGATTCCCAAAACAAAGACCTCATTCTTCCTTTCAAGACCTTATTTATCTTTATAATACATCATTCATCTTTTCAAGACCTCATCCTTCCTATTCAAGATTACATTCATCCTTTCAAGACCTCAATCATCCTTTCATGACCTCATTCATGCTTTCAAGACCTCATTCATCCTTTCAAGACCTCATTTATCCTTTCAAGACCTCATTCATCCTTTCAAGACCTCATTTGTTCTTTCAAGACCTCATTCATGCTTTCAAGATCTCATTCTTCCTTTCAAGACCTCATTCATGCTTTCAAAACCTCATTCATGCTTTCAAGATCTTATTATTCCTTTCAAGACCTCATTCATCTTTGCTAACTGACGCCATTCATTCTTTCTGGATATTAAACATTCTTCCTAGGCGTAATCCTTCTTACGAGGATCTGACCCCCCCCCCACACTCTCCTTCCCCCAACCCATAACACACCCTTTCATATTCTCCTATCATCTAAATATAATCCTAATACTAAGATATTTATTCGGTAAATACAATTTAACAATAAACATTTTTGGATTTCTGAAAATCATGGTTGAAGAATGACACGTGACACCGACTTCGGTAAGTATCCTTTAAAAGGTTAAATCTGACCTTAATATTTTACAAGTAATAAATTCTTATTCGAGCCACATTCTTCTCATTTCAAAATCCGAGCCTCATTCAAATATTGTTTATCATATTTTTATAAATTTTTGATAAATATAAATATGAAAATGTAGAGAACAGTGCTAAGTATAATGTCAAACTAAAGTATAATTGCGGGTATGATTAAAATCTTTAATGTTATAATAACTCTTCTTATTGAGAACAAACATGTTTAACATTGCTAATATGTAACCTGTTAACGGACTAACAAACAGACAAGCAAAGTATATATATAAAGAAGTAGGCTATTATAATTTGCTAGTCTGTTAATGCACTTAGAACCTTTTTCAATGAGTGAAAAAATTAGAACCTCTGAGATTTCACCAATGTTTAACAAACAAGCTATAGCTCTAGTCTTTATTTCTAAATTTGTTTACGGCAAAGAATTTTTTGACATCTCACTCACAAAAAAAAATCGATTAAGATTATCAAGAAACCCTTGATACTAAGATACATTCTTGAAATCATGACTCAACATAAGGACTGACTTGTGCAGGTTTATCATTAAATATATGCCTAGAAATACAATATGATAAAAAAATTAATCATAATACGTGTTAATATTAGAGATAAAAAGAATTATTTCTAATTTTAAATTTAAACGGGTGGCGGACGATGGTGGGCCATGTATACCAAACCCTCTATTATTTGGCAAATTTAATTTTTTACAAAATATTTTTTAATGCTGTCGAATTACTCTCCGTGCAAAGGCAGCAATGCCCGATTCACAAGGGTGCCCTTGACAACTCTATCTGATTAAACATGTTTTTCTAGGTTTAAAAGAGTTTATTCTGATTATTGCTATATGTTTTCTTCCAGTAGAAAGTTACTTTTGTAGAGAAACCAGGCCACAATTGAAAATAATCAGTTTTTCAATTATAAACATTGATATATAATTTATACTTGACCAGACAGAGATGTTAAGGTCACCGTTGTGAATTGGGTAATGCATAAAAGGTCCCTTATTACACACATCTCAGTTTACAGTGTGAGGTATAGGAGAGGGGGGTAGT